TAGAAAAATAGTATTGAGTTTGAAAGCACATGTATTTAGGTTGGTACAAGCTATTACGTACAACTACTCAAGAATAATGTTCCACCGAAGAGGTCTCCTAGTTGTACCAGTTTCTTAGTTGTACTAGTTAGTAAATGTTCTAGTGTTGTAGTTGTACCAGTGTTCTACTTGTACCTGATTGTACATAGTTGTACTTTGGCAGTTAAATCGATCAAAGTAGTTGTACCACCTAAGTTTTGCATTTACCTCAGTTGTACCAATTCTTTATGTGACTACTATCTTTGCCCGGACACAATGAAGTCATCTTATTTGCTAAAATACTCTTCATGTATGTTTTCCAAAAATTATGGGGACAAACAAATTAACAAACCTTAAAAGTATAATGTAGATCATGAAAACTTATGGAGATATGGGTTGGAATTGAAAACCTAAGTTTCATTTAGATTGTAGAAAATTAGTATTGAGTTTGAAAGCACATATATTCAGGTTGGTACAAGCTATTACTTACAACTACTCAAGAATAATGTTCCAGCAAAACGTTTAAAACATGATACAACATAGTTGTACCAGTTTCTAGTTGTACTAGTGTTCTAGTTGTACATGTTTGTGCATAGTTGTACTTTGGCCATTAAATCGATCAAACTAGTTGTACCACCTAAGTTTTGCATTTACCTCAGTTGTACCAATTCTTTATGTGACTACTATCTTTGCCCAGACACAATGAAGTCATCTTAGTTGTTAAAATACTCTTCATGTATGTTTTCCAAAAATCATGGGGACAAACAAATTAACAAACCTTAAAAGTATAATGTAGATCATGAAAACTTATGGAGATACGGGTTGGAATTGAAAAAGTAAACCTTACCAGTCGTATGGAACCTATCTGAATACTTACAAATTTGACCATTGGCATGTATTTTTAAGTTGGATAACAGAAATGAATATTTGAATTTTCGTACCTGACTATTTGTACTAGTTATACCAGTATTCCTAATCTGGTGAATACAGAATAGTTGTGCTAGTTATACCAGTAGGACATGTGGTATTTATACCAGTTACACTAGTTATACCAGATGTACCAAAATCGTCATGACTTTTTCTAATGTAAAAAGTATTACCAATAATACAAGTAGTACCTGACAGAAGCAACACATTCGGAATTCAACCATTACAAAGAGTAGCAAACACTTTAACGTTTAGACTTATAAAAACATCCATAACACCTACATAAAAACATAGTTAAAGCTCAGACATTTTTCTCAATTCCATCGTGTCCATATCCATCATTCTCACTTCCATCGTGTCCATATCCATCATGACCACTTCCATCATGTCCATATCCATCATGACCACTTCCATCGCTGCTACTTCCATCGCTTCCACTCTCATCGCTGTCAATTCCATCATTCTCACACACCAATGGTAGATACTTCTTCTTTTTCTTCCTTCGATATTCCCCAGCTGATGGAAATCTAGTTTCTTGTAGTCTTCCTTTCTTTCTTTCCACATCCGGAGGATATACAACCTAAGATTGGATTTCCTCTGGAATTTCGTTAACTTTCCCATGATGAATGATGAGGCACTGGATATATTGTCATGTAATATGCCAAAGTCCACTACTCCATATAATAATACTTAGAACAATATTGTTCAGACATTTCTCCACGCGCGATGATCGCAGCATGTGCATGCACACAAGGATACCGATCAATATCAAAACACCTGCACTGGCATGTTCCGTTGCCTAAGTCAACAAAACAACCTTGACTGTCCTTGCCAATCACAGTGTACTGACGTTCAAATCTGTTTAGCTCCACCACCGTGAGCTTTTTGGCCTTCGGAAAACTGTGATGCAATATCTCATGCACGTGGGGGACTAGTATCTGCCTCTGTGGTACGCGTAAAGATAAATGGCGATATTTGTTAAACCATTCTATCATCTTTCCAATGATCACATCAAGCATTGGCAACAACGCATATTTCCTTGGTTCCTTTAAAACACCATTGATAGATTCAACAGTGTTGGTTGTATCTATGTTGTACCTTTCTCCCGGAAATTGACATCTTGCCCATTTGGTCTCATGAACACTCTCATCTAGATACTCAGCGGCTTGAGGCAACATTGTCCTGAAATCATTGTACCTTTTTCTGAACTCGACCTCTGTGTACACACCAGCAATTTTTCTAAATTTTTTGGCAACCCCTTTCTTGTTAACTTTGCTGCATGCTCCAGCAACATTATTAGACAAGTGAAAAATGCAATATCCATGGATCGCCATTGGGTACACCTCGTGTACCTTCTTGATGATGCATTGGTTTCTATCAGTACAAAAAACAAGCTGAGGATCATCTGGTATCAAAGTTTTCATCCACTACTAATCTTGTGATGGTACCAGGATTCATCCTTTATAACATATACAAGTAAGATGGAAGTCTCGCAAAACTCTCCTGAGGGTTACCACGCAAATCACTGACGGCTTTGTGTTTTCCTCTCAAAGCTGTAGAATATGAAACCGTGACACCTAGTTTGTGGTTCACCAATTGTATGAGAGACTTTGGATCCGGAGTTTTGTATTGGCCTGGATAATCTTCGTGCACCACTGATGCGACCAAGCTTGGTGTTCCTCTTTTCCCCCTCTTGGTTACATTTCCCTCTCCTCAAGTACACGTATGCATCTTTCTATACGTTCTGATACTGAAAAAGGCCGAGTTTTTCAACCTTGCAGCTCGTAAATACCATCTGCATCCAACCCCACGACATTTCAATATGTAAACAGTACGATTCGACTTGATTATATTAACCTCAAAACAATTCGAATGCACTCCTGCGTCCACTAAATTCCTCAACTCTTCCTTAGTCGTAAATTCTTGATGCAAACTCATATCAATACCATCATCCCACTCAGCATTGACAATTGTGTCTACAGATGGTGTGCCAGTCAGCAAATCCTCCCTATCATCCATTTCATCACCCTCTTATTGCATTCCTCATGCTCATATCTATCTGATTGTCTTGGAGGAATAATTCCCAACTCCTCATGATTATACCCATCTGATTGGTTTTGAGGAACAATTGCCAACTCCTCAACTCAAACCATACCATCATTAGCTCTGGCATCACTCTAAATTTCCTCGTTCATAGAAAAGTGCTCATTACTCTGATTTTCTGAAATGATTTTGGAAAACTCCACATGCAAGACACTACGCCGGTTTTTCCTATCCACCTCCATTAAATATCCTAAAACATCTTCATCCTCCAAAATATAACTAAGCCTCTTATTATTCACGACCAGGGGATAGTAACTCAGTTGAAGCTTCGTCGCAGCTACATCGATATTCATTTTCTTGCATATTCTACAACCAAGTGAGAATAAGTTATCTTCTCATATTTTCCTTTTATCACTAATGTAGAAATATATTGGTCTTCACCATGATCAAAATGTATCACCACAGCTCCACTACCATCCATAGTTCCTGAAAAGAGTTAAAACCAACATTACAACTTACAAGTTGTATCAGTTATACGAGTTCTATTGTCGCTAAAATACGGGTTATACTAGTATTACCAGTTAGACTGGTTTAATGTAACAGTCATTATAAGTTATACTAGTTATACTAGGTAAACTAAGTTCACTTGTCAAATGACTACTAAGAGTTATACAAGTTTTACCCATACTTTTATTCAATGTTACTTACAGTTGTATTAGGTTTACTAGTTTTACGTTTCGTATAACCAATATCACTAATACTAGTTCCGTCAGTTGTACTAGTGTTACTTTTCCAAAGTTGTACCAGGTTTACTAGTTAAATGTTTCGTATAACCAATACTGGTGTTACTCAACGTCAGTTGTACCAGTGTAACCGTTTCGTAATGACTTTCGACTTGAAAGTTGTACCAGTTATACTAATGTCAAAAACGATTTAATCTACAATATCATGATTCATACTATAACAACGTTATATTAAACCTTGGAAACTGACTCATAACGGTAACATACATATTATGGGACTAAAACGAAACAGAAAAAAAAAAAAAGAGAGGCAGAGAAGAGTGAGAGAGAAGGAGAGGGAAAGAGTATACACTTTGCTAGGAAGAGAGGACGAGGCACATTTGTTGTTTCAAGGCGTTTTAAGATGTAGAGGAACCCTAAGAAACAGAACTAAAGGTTTGTGGATGAAAACTTGAAAAAAAAAAGAACTTTGGTTGGTGATGGAAATGAATTTTCGTGTGGGTGGTTGAAGTAATGAAGAAGAAGAAGATGGGAGGGGGTTAATTTCGAATGGGACCCAGGCGAGAGAAGGAGAAAGGAAGAAGAAATTGGACGGCCGAGATTATAACATCTCTTATCTGATCTAATGGTTCACATTCAGTTTTCACTAATGGCAAAATGGTAATTTCGAAACCCTTGGTCCATGATAGATTATTTTTGGTTATTGGAGATGTTTTTGAAGCCATTTGTCTCATTATAGATTTTGGTCCTTGATTTTCGCAGGTACAGAAGAAGAAGATGAATATTTAAAATACGAAAATACCCTTCATTAATACAGAGTGTAATAAACAAAAGAAATGGTGACTTTGGGCTTCGAACTAGGACGTGGATTTCTTAAAAGAACACTTAAACCACTGCACTAACTCCGTTTTTGCTATTTCTTCGACAAACATATAATATATAGATAAAAAAAATTGAAAATCTTTGAAAAAGTCCGAATACTCTTCGATTAATCCCCGATTTTTCATTAACTAGCTAGGCCCGACCTATCCATCCGACTAACACCTAGCGTAGTTTCGAACATTGGTTTTAGGTAAGACAGTGCTAAGAAAATAATTGATACACTGTATCTGTGTAAAAAATAAATTGTTGACAAGAACAAGAAATATTGCAAATTAATTATTAGTAAATGTCAAAGATGACAAACTCGGACATCCTTCTCTAAAACATAGATTTGTTACATAACAAAGATTTCAACTTCAAGAATAACTTTGTTTTTAAAAGAGAGCCTTAGGCCCAAGCAAACCCAATGATAGCAACAATGGCCCAGAAGATGCCACTTCCTGCAACCAACCCAACGGCAGTGTTCGGAGCTGGTGCTGGAGCTGTCGGAGAAGTAGGTGATTCTGAAGAAGGAGTTGGTGGAGCAGCGCCAGGTACTGGCTTGGGAGTGGGCATGGGGGGATGATTAGGTGACTGTACCACAACGATCAATCTCTCATATTTAGTGCAATGACCTGGAGCTCCACTGATGAAATAGTGTGGACCTGAGACATTAAGTGTCACCATCGTGGGTTCCGCTCTGTATTCATTCAATGGTTTTTCTGTAATGCAGTTTTTGTAGTTTTCCTTTGTCACTTCTAACACCGAATCGTTCTTGCTGTCGTAGTAAAACTCTGTCACATGCAAAAATAATGTTAATACAGACTTGTATTTGTGTTCGTGGTTAATTACAATGTTTTATTTTGACGGATTTAAAAAATAAAAACTCAATGAAAACTATGTAAACCAAATCGGTTGTTCCGTATATATTATCTAAACGACTGATTTACATGCACTTCGTACAAAAACAAAATTTATCTTGGCTATTTTGTATTTATTTATTTTATTTTTTTTGAATTATACAGAGGTATCCTAGCCCCACATAAGTGGTCCAGACTAGCCACGTGTTGCCACGTATCGGTACTCTGTCCTTGGCGATGCCGAAATGTTAATTCTCCAATGGCCGAGATTCGAACTCAGGTGGCGGTACTAACAGCTGTAAGTCCTTTACCACTAGAGCTAGAAGCCCGGTTAAACTATATAGATAAACTATTTGGAAAGGGAAAGAACTCTGAAAGATGCAAACTGAAAGGAAACTAACCTGAGAAAAAATAGAAATTTAAACTGGCCAGAACCATTTAAAACATTTCTGATTTACATGCACTTCGTACAAAAACAAAACTTGTCTTGGCTATTTTGTATTTATATCTTACTTTTCATGTGTGATAGAGAAAAAAAATGACACAAATTCAGACCGATCTAAAACACGAACTTAATACATCCAATCTCCTATATCATCATGAAACTATGGTATGCCCCCCCCCCCCCCCCCAAAAAAAAGTCAAAATTTATAACATAAAATAAATTGCTTGTATGAAATCATAATAGTTTTCTTCAAAAGAAAAAGAAAGAAATCATAATAATTTGGTGTTAATAATCGGCCATTAATCCAAGACCCACTTTGTGACGTAAGATAAAAAGATATGTACCAAGAGTGTCTCCGACTCGGAATCGACGGGAGTCAGCCCAATGTTGGAGAGTGTTGTTGGCTGGATCTGGAACTCTCCATCCGGGAAATGATCCTCCCACAATGAATGTGTTGGCCTCACCAAGGTGGTAGAATGTTGCAAATAAGAGAAATACTACGGGGGAAATGAGAATCAAAGACGCCATTTCTCTATCTAGTTATTGTTTGGTGCTAGATGGGATTTTTTATATAGAGATAGATGGTCTCGGACAAGATTCGGTGACAAATCTGGTCTTGTAAAACGTAATGAAATCTTCACAGTTAGGAAAGTAATTATTACATATAATCTCCATTGAATTAATTTCTTCTTTATATATATATCTTTCTACAAATCAACGATTTTTTAATTTGAAAGCAATAAAAACGGTAGATTTTATTTTTATTTCTTCAATGAATTGTTCTTTTGGAAGCAAAAAGGGTTTTCAATACTGAATGATTTATTGACATGACAACTGAACGTGCAATATACTCAGTAATATATATTTGTTAAAAATAAATTCATGACATAACTAATAACTATTAGTACCATTTGTTTTCAATAATATCAATTAAATTTTTTTTGTGCAACAATATAATATCAATTAACTAAACCATGACTTTTTGATGGTCGACGAAATACTCGGTTTAATTAATTGGTATTATTGAATGTAAACCATGACCCTAAAGTTCCAACTGCAGAAAAAGTTCCGGAGACTTGATATGCTGATGCATGAAACAATATAACTTCTGTTTCTGGGAGCTTTTGATGTTGAACATCCACTCAACTTACTACGTCATTGAAGTTTAAAATTGTTCTCACACAGATTTAATCAAAAGAAAATTTTACTATGCAGAAATTGCATCATGTTATGATATTTCTTTTAACCGACTTAGTGCTTTGAGATTATTATCTTTCTCAGACAAATAGAAACTAAAACACAAGAATTTACTCATCGAGTTCCCAACTAATTAGAGCAGTGGTGATCTAACATTTTACACTTTCACAAGCAAATATAAAAACTTTACCTTTTTATATATTTTATATGGAATCACAAACAGTAATATTATAAAACACTGTTATTTAAAATACTTACTGTTGAATATAATTCTTCCATTTTTTACGAAATTATCCATTAAATTCATATAGTTAAATTTTTCCGTTAAAATAACAGTGTCAAGCATTTATCACAAATTTCTAGGAAAACGACGAACAGAAAAAACAAGTTGTTGGCAAATGGTAGTGTTTTAAACCCAATCCGGACACTGAACCAAACAATTTTTTTAGGTCACCAAGCTATTGGATAGACTGTGGGTGAACCACGAGTTAATAAGTAAATAAATTTTATTATACAATATAATATATTAGTTTTGAAAATAAAAATATAGAAGCTAAAGTTAAGTATTTCCTAAATTCTTTTTATGGATTTTTTAAATCTCTCTCATTTAAAGTTAATAAAGCTTTTTATTAGATTTTTTTCTTAGATTTTTTATATTTTTAGTAGCATATTATTAATGTAATATTATGCTTTGTTTAAGTTAACATGAATAAGTTTTATACAAATAAAATTTCAGAGTCAATAAATTGACACAAAATAAGCTTTATAATTTAAATTATTAAATAAGTATATATCACACAATTAATACCAATTACAGAGATTTTATAAAATATTTAAAACAAACCAATTGGAGTAATTTAAAGCAAAAATTAATTTGTAATTTTCAAATTTAATATAAATATAATTTTATAATTATATAGTTTTCAAATACACTAAAATTAAATTTTTAAAATCTACTTATAAAAATGTTAAAATATATTATTATTATAAATTAGATTTTGTTAAAAATAAATTCCGTGTTTTTAAATGTAGGATAGAATCTAGTATTTTTATAACATAACATAATAGTGTGGATATATATAATTTTTGTTCTCTCTACTATCGTTAACCTCATTTTTTCAGATAGCATAGTGGAATCTTCATCATAATTTAAAAGTCACAAATAAAATAGTGTAATTGGTAGTATATATGATAAAAATAAGAAATTTAATTAAAACATAATTGTTGTAAAAAAAAATCAAAACATAATAGGCTAAAAAATAAGCAAATGTTATTTATTGGTTGAGCTAGTGGCGACTAGGTTCTGGATTTTATTGGATTTTTCAATAATTGATTTTTGGGCTATTAGCAAAACTGACTCAAAACATAAAACCAACTATAAAACTGACCTATGATTTTCTTGGATTCTTCTTTTTCCTTATTCACCCCCACATATTCTCATTATTTACAAAAATGCCATTTTTTAAAAAAATGACAATTTTACTCTCTCAACCTCATCATCTTCAAGTATTACAAGATTGTCATTGCCATCAATACACCAACCACCATGAACAACCTATTTCAAGCTCTTAATGCACCTCAAATCGATTTACACTTCTTTTTTTCTCAATTCTTATGAATGAAAAACAACATTTCTTTCACTTTCTCTCCATATTCATCCAAAAAAACCAAGAGTTTGATTCTATGATTTTAATATTTCATAGAGCCATTGAAAATTACAATTCTTTGTGTGTTACTTTTATTTGAGATTTGAAGTTATTAGAGAAGACTTATGTGTGCTAAGCAAGTTATTTAACTGATCAAAACTATGAAACGAAGATTCTTTTCCAGTTATGTTCGTCTAGACTACCAGGTAAGTCGTCTGGCTCTAGATGACTTACCTGGAAGTCATCTAGTCAATACAAAGATTAGTTTTGCAATTGTCTTTTAAATTTTGTTTTCTAGACGACTTACTTCTAAGTCGTCCACTTATGTTTGATAAAAAAAAACTTGAGACGACTTAGGGAAAATGGGTTAGTTTTGCATTTGACTGGAATGTTTCAGAAATTTCTTTTTCTGGATGACTTACGTGTAAGTCGTCCAATAAAAAAAAATTAAAATTTTATTTTTTTCTAGACAATTTTCATGTAAGTCGTCTCAGTTTAGTTTTGCAATTGAAATATTAAACAACTTTTTTACTAGACGATTTATACATAAGTCATTCAAGATTTTTATTTCAATTGCAAAACTAACCTGAGACGACTTACATATAAGAAAGTAAAATATTAATTTTTTAATTTTTTATTGGACGGCTTTGGAAATTTCAAATTTCTGACACATTCCGGTTAAATGCAAAACTAACATGTTTCCCCTAGACGACTTACATGGATGATTTCAATTGCAAAACTAACATAAATGGATGATTTCATAGGCACGGTAGTCGTCTTCGTCAATATTTAATAAATTTTTATTTTCTCTAAACTTTAAAGACTTTTTAATATTTTTTGGGTTAATTCATGTATATTAGTCAATATTAGAGCTAATGAATAAGATTTATAACTTAATTGGTGATATTTATTAGGTTACCAACATTCATGTTAATTAAAGTTTCTAGCTGAGCTGAGAAGACTTCTACCCTAGTGTTTAAGTCTTTTATGCTTGTTTTTGAATAACTTGTATTTTTAAGAGTGTTAAGTAACTTCAAGATATGTAAAATATGTTTAAAATATGTTTTCTCCCTTAGTTTTACTAAATTTGATTAAGATTTTCAGCACAAACTTGTAGATGTGATATGCTTTGACTGGTTACTATTGTTTGTTTCCATCTCTTAAGTGTTATTGTTATTAACACTAATGATGATTATTGTTATGATTTGGAAGAAGATTAAAATGTTGTAACAAAACGAAGCTACCAAAATTCTTGTTTATTCAGATGAGAAGAATGCCATTGGAGTTTATTATTGCATATGGGAGATCCAAAGATGAGAAGAAGGTTATTGAAGTTTATTATTTCATTGATTTGTAAACACATTGTTAACACATATATTACATCTTGGGAAACATTATTACTGATTTTAAAGAAAATTCACAACTAAATGAGTACACATGCAAATCACAAAACAGATACAAACAAAATTATTATAGATCATTATATGTTATTCGTTTGGAAGACTTCCTGGAAGTCTCTAGGAGGAAGTCGTCTGGAAGATTTCCCGAAAGTCGTCTGGAAGACTTCTTGGAAATCGTTTAGAGCATTATATTTTAGAAGATTTTCAAGAAGACTTTCCATAAATCTTCCAAAGTCTGATGCAGATCTAAGGGTAAACGTGCTATTTCTCCACGAGACTATCATATAGCATCAGATATCCATCGAACTATCACCTCGTGCCATATCTCCCCGAATTATAAGTTATAAACTTATTTCACCCTGAATCGATAGTTTGAAATCTATTTCTCCTCGAACTAATAGTTTAGAAGTTAATTACACATAAAAAATGGGTTAACTGGTTTATTGTTAACCAAACAACTTTAAAACAAAACAAAAATTTAATTTTATCAAAAAAATAAGTTTTCAAAATCTCTCAAAATATGAAAATCTTCAAAATTTCTTTTATAATAGTGATAGTGTGGAGTTTGAATAGTGTATTAGCATTTTTCTTTTTGATAGAAAATAGATGATTGATGTGTTTATTTGGTTTAAATTATATGGTTAACAATAAACCAATAAAAATCATAGTATATGGATAATTAAGTTTCGAACTATCGATTCAGGGAGAAATAAATCTGGAACTTTCAATTCATGGAGATCTAACACGAGGTCATAGTTCGGTGGATATCTGATGTTATATGATAGTTCTCGTGGGGAAATAACACGTTTACCCCAGATCTAAAAACATGTATGTCAAACCCATATCTAAAAAAACTACAAATAAAGATAGATTAGTGAGAAAAACATGAGACAAAACTGAAAAATTCATATAAAGTTTGGTGTTTTCAAATCAAAGAGATTAGAGTGGGTTTGAAGAGTTTTATATTGGAAAAAAAAGATAAGAACTTTATGCAAAATGAGTTACCAAATGAAGAAAAATCTGACATAAGAACTTACCAAAACGCTCAGATCTGTTATGAAAAGGAGAGACATGGGAGAAGACTCCGCCAGAAGACTTCCGGGAAATCATCTGGAAGACTTCCTGGCAATCGTCTAGATGACTTCCTGGAAGTCGTCTGGAAGACTTCCTGAAAGTCTTCTAGCGCATTATATTTTAGACGACTAACAGTAAGTCGTTTCAGAAGTCTTCTAGATCTGAAAATCCTGCATATCCAAAAACGTTCAAATGACTCAAAACAGAGAAA